GAATGTGTGGTTTATAATTTTCATTAAATCTTAAATTTTTCCAGCCATTATTTCTTCAAATATTTTTTCTGTCCTTTCTTTCTCCTGTCCTTTGGGGATTCTAATTATGCATATATTAGTCCACTTGAATTTGTCTCCTAGCTCACTGCTGTTCTTGTTTGTTTTGAGTCTCCTATTTTTATTTCATTTGGATTGTTTCAGTTGTGTGTCTTCAAGTTAACTAAACTTTTCTTCTGGAATGTCTAACCTGCCACTAATCCCATCCAGTGTACTTTTTATCTTAGATATTGTACTTTTCATCTCAGAAGTTCACTTTAGATCTTTTTTTATATAATCCATATCTCTACTTAACATGCTCACCTCTTGCTCTAGTTTTTGGGCAAATGGAATACGGTTATCATAACTGTTTTAACGTCTTTGTCTGCTAATTCTAATATCCGTGCCTTTCTGAGTCAGTTTTTATTCATTGATTTTTCTCTCATCATGAGCCATGTTTTCCTTTTCCTTTTGGATGGCAATTTTTGATTGAATGCCAGACATTGTAAATTTTACCTTGTTAGATGCTGGATATTTTTATATTCCTATGAGTATTATTGAACTCTCTTCTGGGATGTTAAGTTTCTTTGAATCGGCTTGATTTTTATAGTTCTTCCATTTAAAATTTGTTAGGCAGAATCAGCTCAGCATTTAGTCTAGGGCTAATTTTTTCCTACTACTGATGCAAGAACCTTCTGAGAAGTATCTACACAGTGCCCTGTGAATTATAGGTCTTCCAGTCTGGCCTTGTGTAAGCATATGGTATTCCTCTCTAGTCCTTTCAGATGGGTCTTTCCCTGCCTTTGGGTAGTTTCCCCACACATATGCACTGACTATACATATACTTAATGGGGACTCTTTGTAGATCTCCAGCATTCTTTCTGTGTGCAGCTCTCCCCTGAGAACACTATCCTGTGAATTGTAGCTATCTTGATCTCTCTGGTCTCCTTAACTCAAAGAACCTGCCAAACTACCTAGATTCACACTTCCTGCACTGTGGCCTTAAATTTATTTCAAGGAACTAAGTTTGGGCAGTCACAGAGTTTATCCCATTTGTCTCCTATCTCTAAGAATCATTGTCCTTCATAGTCTGGTATCTAGTGTCTGGAAACCATTGTTTTCTATCTTTTCTCCAGTGGCTTAGTTAGTTAGGAAAGAGGGTAAATCTGGCTCCTATTAGTCCATCTAGGCCAAATGCAGAAGTTTTGGATTTTGTAGTTAGCTCTTTTTTTTTTTCCAGGTTTGTATCAGTTGTTATTTCCTGGCTATATAACTTTGGCAATTTACCTAACTTCTCTGAGCCTTATTTTTTTCCATGTGCAAATGGGAATAATAATTTTATAATAATTAAAATTACATTTATGGAAAGCATTAAGCACAAGGCCTGGCATATAATAAATGCTCTAATAATGGAGACTATTCTTATTATCTTGATTAAGGGTTTAAATCAGATGATATTTTGCATAAATGAAAATTTATATTTTATGACAAGTTCATCCCTGTCAAATTCTGTTATTTTACAAGTTATCCTTCTAAATTCCATTAATAGTACACTTAAACACATTAGGAATTATTCAGCCATTTGGCTCTTCTATTTTGAAGGATTTTAGATGTTCTGTTTGCTTCCCTTTGGTGCTAGAATTGACTATTTCTTGAGATAAACTCCAACTACCCGCGCCCCCCCTGCATTTTCACTATTAATCCAGTTGCTCAGCCAGGAAGTAATGTTCAGTTTGTTTGTTTTAACTATTGGTTTTTAAAAGCTCTATGTACTATTTAAAATGAGGTCAATAGTAGTACAATTCTAAAATGTTCCTAAATAGGATATGTTAATAATAATCTAACAAAATATTTGGTTGGAATTTGTTTATCACACTACCAAGTAATAGTGAACACATGACTATCACTTAATGTCAGCAGTTTGGCTATAGGAAATTTTTTAATTACAAAAATTTTAACTGAAGAGCAACAACACTGTGTATTTGGGACCAATTTTAAATGTTCAGTATGCACATTAAATTATTTTTTTCATATCAAAGGAATACTTTAAATAAATAAAAATCCATGGCAATTAGTAAATACACAGTTTATTTTAAAATGTGCCATCCTTGTTGCATAGCAACTATTGATTCTATTATGTGCTTTTTACATACTCTAAAATAATTAAGTACAGGCACAAATTGCTATCTACTTTTTTTGAATGTTAAAAGCATTTAGTTATGAAGTTTATTCTAATATGTATATTATATATTTGTAAAGGGAACATTTCATTCCTACACAAAGGCACAGTGACCCAAAAAAGAGATGACAATGTCATATTAGTGATTTTCCTTTCTGATGAGAGGACTTTTAGGGAACTCTTTATTCATAGTCTCAATAACTAGCACAGCCAAGACATAATTATCATTCCTTGGCTTTACTAGTCTGGATCTTGATTTACTGTTAAGCTAAATGATAAGATTTATTAACAAGAAGTCATGCCCTCTCAACAAAATGAAATGCCCATTTATATCACAGAAAATTATACATGCCAAAATACATCTATGATATAATTAATTTATTAGAATGATATCATGGTCTTAGCAAGAACTTAGAAAATCTTACATAGGTTTATTTTCATCATCAAATTAACAGCATGAAGCAAGACCATAATGCTTTTATAAGATCATTATATGATCAAATGCTAACATTAACTTGGTCCACTTGCTGTGTTAGCACCTCACAGACAGGGTACAGTAAGCAGCAGTGATAAATTGTAAATGCAGAGACTCTTCCAGTAGATTGTATCTGAAAGTCCTTCATGGGGTGTGACCATGAAGATAAAGAACTTCTACACAGCAAAGTCAGGAAAGTTCACTCTACCAGTCTAAGAGGAGCTCAGGTGTTTGAAGGAAGGGAAGAATCTGTGAATCTCTATTCACATTAATTCCATCAGGGAAATTTCTGCATCAAAAGATGAAATGTTTACAATATCTCTTCACACATACTTCCAAATTGCTCTCCAAAGGGTTGTTGTAACTTCCAGCCCCTTAAAGAGTGAGTATGAAAGATTATCTCACAAGACCTTACCACAATGCCAAAACCACTCTGTTAACTGCATGGGTTAAAAAAATAATCTCATTGTTTCAATTTGTACTTTTTGGATTGCTGGTTAGGTTGATCGTCTTTTTTGTATTTTCAAACATGGATTGGTAAGGATGGAGGAAGTGAATAAGAATAGACTAGCCAAGTGAATACCCCAAAGCTAATAAAAATTAGAAAGAATTAAAGAAATGCAGGCTTTAGAGAAGAAGGAAAAGAAAAAGTCCAAACTTCGGGCACCTGGGTGGCTCAGATGGTTAAGCGTCTGCCTTCGGCTCAGGTCATGATCCCAGGGTCCTGGGATCGAGTCCCGCATCGGGCTCCCTGCTCCTTGGGAGCCTGCTTCTCCCTCTGCTTCTCTCTCTCTCCCCCCCAACCCCTGTCTCTCATGAATAAATAAGTAAAATCTTTAGAAAAAAAAAAGTCCATACTTCAAAATAAAACAAAGAATGAACCACTTAGAGCAACTTTAGTCTGCATTCTCAACGTTTAGTTGTTGCCTCTATGCAACTGTTGTTATAGTGATCATTTCTCTTACAGCCTGAATGTGCTATCCCTGAAGGACAAGGAAAGTGGGATTGCTTTATAGAGAGCCAGTAATGCCTGAGTCTGGCCAACTGAGTAAAGAATGTAAATGAAAGTGAAAAATTTAGTACTGACCTGAGCCAGCAACAATATCTAAAGGGTTTCAATTTGGTGGATGGTAGGGTGTGGAAGAGTCCAGGTGGAGATGTTAGTTTGACGTGGCCACTGCTTGTTGCTTGAGGTTACAAGTTATAGGGTCTAGTCATCTGGGAGAAGAATCTGATAATAACCAAACAGGTTGTCAGGACTTTAGTCAAGCAATCTGAATTTCAGTAGCCAGCTCTACCTCTAGATGCAAATTTACAATGTTATCAGAAAACCAAGGATGAAGGCTAGTGCTAGGGCAGGCATCAGCTGGGCAAGAGTTGGAAAGGCTTCAGGGAATTGTTCAGGATAAGGCCCAGGGATCAATCAAGGAGTATCAGAAGTTTATGACAGGGAAATGATGGGTTGCAGCTTCAATGACTAGAGATGTACAAGGCCTGAGAAGGTAGGGACCAATAATTTTTAGAATATTATTTGTATCCTTTAAAATTATGCAAGTAATACATCTTTATTACTGAAACTCTGAAAAATTTAGAAAAATCCAAAGACAAAAATTAATGCATTTTTCAGTACTGTAAGAGAAAATATTTTCCTTGTAAACAGTGAGCTAAATACTTATTCATTTTACTTTGCCAAAAGTTCATAACTGAGTAATTTTGTCATTTTACATTCTCTTGTAGTATCTTCTTAAAAGCAGAGAAATTGTGAGAATAAATAAATATTCCCCTGCTTTTAAGGATGTAGTCAAATGCAGATTCTGTCCCTTTACAGGAAAAAGGTAAATACTTAAAAATAAAAACTATACTTTTACATGAGCACTAAGGGCTATCTTAATTTTACAAGATTTTAAGTTCCGTTCTTACCTTTTTATTTCCCATTATGTTGTCTAATATTTTGGAAAAGACACACACTATAAGCATGTTTGGTCTAGGAAATTCCAGAAGGAATCATAGAAGCAAAGATATCTGGAATAGTCTCCTGGCAAACAGATATAAATTTTTTTAAAGATTTTATTTATCTATTTGACAGAGAGAGTGAGTGAGCACAAGCAGGAAGAGCGGCAGAGGGAGAGGGAGAAGCAGGCTCCTGGCCGAGCAGGGAGCCTGATGTGGGGCCCAATCCCAGGACCCTGGGATCATGACCTGAGCTGAAGGCAGATGCTTAACCGACTGAGCCACCCAGGTGCCCCAAAGAGATAGAATTTTTAAAAACCAAATAAGACACATGCTGATGAAAGCTTACATTATTATTACCTTCTCTCTCCAGTTATCATCGTTCAGCAGCTTCTGTCTGAGGGTTTCCTGCAGCTGTTCGATGCTTTTCTGATGTGAAATCAGCATTAATTCCCTGAGAACCATAAACCCAACAAATGAGTCAAGACCCTGATACTCTTCCTAAATTGCAGTTCCTGGCTCAGAGAATAGTATTTCACAACTTAATCTGTTTCTTCTCTTTAACAATATATATACTGCCACTAGATACTACTTTTACCATTAACAGCCATTTACAAACACTATATACAAGGTAAGTATTTTTTCAGACTTAATTTTTGCTTAATAAGTTATGTTATTACTTTTGCACGAAATAGTAACAACATATGTGGAGTCATAAATATCATAAAACATTACACATGGTTCCAAAGTTTGACTAAATTCTAACACTAGACAATATTTTGCTTCCTAAAAAAAGGGAAAATATGTTGGGATATGCCATAAAATCAACACATGTTTGTGGTTCTTGCTAGATTTATTTTTCTTTTACTTGTCTCAAGTGATAGGAACAAACCAAATTAAGTAGAAGATAATGTCTCAAGTACGGTATAGTACAAAACATATTAGAAAATTGAAAAGAAAACACAAAGAACATTTTAATAGTTTAATCCACATAAATGGATCTTAAAGTTTAGTTTGTAATCCCCTGGGTGGAGGTAAGTACAGAAGATTCATAAGAGCATCTCAAAGGGGCACTGAAATTGAGCCTTTGAATATCACAAGTAGTGGCAAAAGCACACTTGTTGATCAGGGCTCCTTCCCTTTTCCGTAATCACTGCGTCCCTCCTTAGTTTCTGTGTAGGTAATTCTTCTACATTGCTTATTCCTCTTTCTAATCTCTTGTTTTCTATCACCACCCTGTTCCTTTTAGCTCAAACTCCTTTCTCAAAATTGTGGCTTTCAATTATAACTGCCTGTTAGATATCCCCACCCTAATGAACCATTAATACCAGATCCATTAAAAAACAAATTCACTATCATCTCCTGCAATCTTGCTTTTCCTTTTGAGTTCTGAAAATCTTCAAGAGTCAAAATCTTTGGCTTGAAATCCCTGAGTTTTCTCTGACTCTTTCTTCTCCTTGTCCCACCGCATCCATTCAATACCAAATTCTATTATTTTGCTTTCTGAGTGAACCCCAAACTATTTCCTCTCTCCCTTTCCCACTACCAACAGCCTTCCTTGTTAAGGCTCTTGACTTTTTCTCCCACCTATAGTATTATAATAGACTCTCAATCTATCTCTTGATTTCTTTTCTAGTCTCACTCTTAAAATATTATTAAATATTTTTTTACCATAGTAAAAATAATGCCTACATTTCTAAGCTAGAAAAATTTAAGGACACAAGCATATGAAGACATGTTGTACTTGGTAACCAGGATTATGAATATCATTTGAGGGAAACTTATTAAAAAAAAACTACCCAGACTTCTCTTTCCAGAAGTGTATTGGACTAGGTACTTTGACAACTCTCCTACTGAAAATAAGTAAACATTTTTTTTAACTTATAAAAAAGAATTTTAAAATTCATCAGTAAGCTGGACAAAAAGTGGGAAGGATGCAGAGAACAAAACTCAAGTGAAAGAACAGGAAAAGGATAGGAGTGGAAAACTACCAAAATCTGAATAAGGTCTGTAGTTTAGTTAATTGTATTATACTAATGTTAATTTCTTAGTTTTTACAGATGTGTCATTGTTATTAAAAACTGCCAAAGAGAAACATAAACTCTCTCTTTACTGTCTTTGTAACTTTTCTGTAATTATTTCAAACTAAATCTTTAAAAAAGTGAAGTAAAAGGAAGAACCCCCAACAATAAGTAGAGCATTGAAACCAATTCTCACCTTGAAGGTACCTTCCAAATCTGATGAACTTGAGCTTTAAATTTCATAGGCATGAAGGGCTCAGGTGAGAGAGTCTAAAAGGAAACTCACCTGCATGAAGCTGCATCTCAAAGAACTGCACATGCAGTAAATGTGTGAAATTCACACCTAGTATGTGTAAAATTCAAATAACAACTCTCAAGGTACAAAAGAAAATTACTGGTTTTGAATTTTGTTGCTAGGTAGAGGGAAAAATATAAATCTCTCATAGGAATTTGTAAACACAAACTAACCCTAATGCAGATTTTTATTGTGAATTCATACAACCTGAGTGGTTAGAAGAGCTTCATGTTGAAAAGGTATCTTAAAGTGGTAATAGGTTACCTTTATCTCCAGATGCCTGGTAGAAAAAACACCAATATTTTTGGGAGCAAGCTATCTTCAACTTGGGACTCAAAGATTTTCTACAGATAAAAAGTCAAGACCTATGCTATCCTGATTTTTTAGAAATCACAAAACTATAAAAGAAAAAAGAAAGCCATAATGCAGCAACCCAAGGTCAAGCAGACAAATAATTCAGTAAGAATATAGAGGATTTTAACAATGCAAATAAGACTGATTTAAGGTTCATGTATAGAACCCTGTACCCAATTAGTAGAAAAACACACAATTATTTTCAGCTCACATGAAATGGACATCCTAGGCCAGAAAGTAAATTTCAAACAATTGTTGTCTGATTAACCTGTATGGTCCAACATGGTAGCCGCTAACCATATGTAGCTTCTAAGCACTTAAAGTGTAACTGGTTCAAATTAGGATGTGCCTAAATCTAAAATGGACACCATGTTTGAAAACTTAGTACCTCTCAAAAATCTAAAATATCTGTGATAATTTTTAAAGATGATTACATATTTAAATAATTTGTATATATGGAGTTAAGTAAAATATATTACACATTTTACCTATTTTTCTCTTTTAATGTGGCAATTGAAAAATTTAAAATTACATATGTGTTTCACATTATACTACTGAACAGCACTGTTAAGAGTCCATAGTCTCAGAAAACAAACGTCTATAACAAAAGATATGTAAAATATCTCCATGTATTTGGAAGTTAAAAAATTTTATTTCTAAGTCATGGGTCAAGTAAAAAATCATAATTGATATTTAAAAATATTTAGAATTGAACAATAATGAAATTGCTACATATCAAAACTTACACAATATAGTTAAAGCAGAAAGGATAACTCAATTGTGGTATAGTTTAGAATACAATACAGATAAAGAAATGAAAGCTTTTCAGCTACATGCACCATAATAGACAAATCCCAGAAACATAATCTTGAGCACAAAGAAAAAAAACATTGGGTAACACTTATAGTATGATTTTATTTCTATGAAGATAAAATATATGCAAACCCTAACTTTTTTAAGGAATGTAAACAACTTGGTAAGATTATAAAGTGAAGAAAAGAAACATCAGGTGTTATCTATAGGTTTTAATAGATACTCTTTATCCATTTGAGGAAGTTCCCTTCTATTCCTAGTTTGCTGAGAACCACAAAATGCAAGTTGGTGGTTTCCTCTGCAGAATGAGGCACTGTGGTGGGACTGGGGAGAAACACAAAGGGACTTCAAAGCTAATGGTAAGGTTCTTTTCCCTAAACTGAGTGGTTGACACAAAAATGTTCACTGTATTGTACTACTTTATACTTTACACCTATGTTCAGCTCCCATGTATCTATTCAATATTTATTTAAAAAATAATTAGTGATTAAAGCCTGAGCACATGCATGTGGAGGAAAAGGAATCAAAGGGAAAGACTATGGTGAAGGACCGGGCAGGTGACTAGTAGGGTAGAGTTTACGGTCAGCTATGCACACTTGGGATAAGGCAGTGTCATTGGGCCCTGAAAGGACAGAGGTGAATTAGGAAGGCAGGATCCCTGTCCAAAAGGTGCTCAAAATCCAGTAATGTGAAAGAAAAATTTATCTTTCAGAGTGTGAGGTGCACCCAGCAGGTTCTGATGCTTGCTTAGTAGTTTCTAGGCTGAAGTAAGTGAAACAGAAGAAACAAAGAATGAGGACAGCAAAAGTGGGAGTACATTAAAAATCTCATTTGTGGCTTTCCTACAAATATTTGTCCATTCCTGTCTCCCTTGCAGACTCATCTTCCCGTACTTGTCGTTTAAATGTTTGTGTTCCTCAGCACTTTTTCCTTTCTACTCTTTCTCTAGGTGATCTTATCCACTTCTATGCTTGAAATGCAATCTAGATGCTGACAACTCCCAAATTTTATCTCTGGCTCAGATCTATTCTCTATTCTGAGTATCTGACTCATGAATCCAACTCACTGACTGCTCTACTTTTATATTTCAGGGACAACTCAAACTTAACATATTTGTAATCTCAGAGGCTCAAAGTACTAGAGTTTATTTTTTGCTCATGTTATGTGTCATCGGCTGCTTTGTGCCCCACGTTTTGTTCCAGGATGTAGCTCAAGGAGCAACTCTTACCAAGGAATGCTATTTTTTGTGGCAGACGGAAAAGAAAAATCTCCAAAACTTTGGATCTGTTAAAGCTTCTACTCAGAATTGGTGCATTCTCTCACATTTCAGTGGCAAGAACAAGTTGAGTGGCCAAGTCTGATGACAGTCAGGCACGGACAGAATAGTCCTCTCACTGGGAGGTGTGCACCTGGCATGGGGCGGAGCCCATCGAAATTCTGAAATTCCCTTGGAAGCCAACGTGAGGATCTCTACCCTGGAGGTGGGGGATATTCCTTGCTCAGATTATGGTTCATTTTTTATTTAAGATTTTATTTATTTATTTGACAGAGAGAGACACAGAGAGAGAGAGGGAACACAAGCAGGGTGAATGGGAGAGGGAGAAGCAGGCTTCCCGCTGAGCAGGGAGCCTGATGTGGGGCTCAATCACAGGACCCTGGGATCATGACCTGAGCAGAAGGCAAATGCTTAACGACTGAGCCACCCAGGTGCCCCATCATTTTTATTGCTGAGTAGTATTTCATTGTATGGCCACACCACAATTTATTTGATCAACTCACCTGTTGATAGACATATAGGTTGTTTCACAGGTTTGCGCTATTACAAATAAAGCTGCTATCAATACCTCTGTACAAGTTTTTTTTATAGATAATCCCTTAATTTCTCCTGAGTAAAACACCTGGGTAGCAAGGTTAAGTGTAATGCTTAACTTTTTAAGAAACTTCCAAACTTTCCCAAAGAGGTTATACTGT